ATCCAAACAACTCCATCATGTTTATTTTGGCTTTTTGACAACAGTCATAAGGTGGATGGAGTAACATTTTATTCAACTTAAAACCAAAAGGTGAGAGGTAATGTAAATAGTGGTGTTTGAAAATGGATCAGTTCAGTGCTTTGTAAAATACTATGATTTTGTCATTTTCATAAGTGTATGTAACTATTTATTTACTGCTGCCTGATAGAATTTCCTTTTCTATGCACATACGCATCTAGTTCATGTCAGATTTTCTAATGAAGGGTAGGGGGAGAAGTGCAGCAGAACTGGCCCTGATATCACCAGTGAGGAGGGATGTAAGAGTTTAAAAAAGGGCTCTGCAGTTGCAGCCTAAAATCTGAGCAGTGAATACACATGGGACTGAATCCTAGACACATATTTAAAAAGAAAAAAAAGTGCAATCAGAAACAGTTAAAAGGTTTGCAAATGTTTCAGTTTGTCTTTGTCTTGTGCAGGAATGTTTTCGGGGGGGGAATTTGTGCAGGAATTTGGGTGGAAGGAGCATTGCTTTCCACTTTGCCTGCTATTGGCATTGCTCAGAAGCAATAGGAAGATAAACAGCTGTATTTTGTCCAAACTGATCAAGTTATAACAAGGGAACTGTAAATCAGCTAGTGTGTCTGTTAGGATATCATCTCTTGATGTCAGGTTTTCAATCCTGTGTGTTATTGGCTCAGCCGACAGCAATGAGAGACAAATCTCTGCTGTTGGCAGGAACAGAGGAGTTCACGCAGGCATAGTGTGACAGAATTCCCCACATAAAAATTATCCCTGCTAATATAATATAATCATCCTTTAATGAAGTGGTCCTGCAGTTCCCAAAGGATGTATGAAGTGAAGACTTTGCTTTCATCCCACTGAATTATCGTGTATTTAGCGTGCCAGTCACACCAGCGCCTAGGTGTCATCCTTATCCATTGCTACTCTTCTCCTTTTCAGGCCCTGGTTTTAATTTCCTTTCCTGCTGCAAATTTTGAGCTCCAAACACACTTTGCAGCTCAAGTGAAGTGAGAAAGGGGAAATATGCCATGTGAGCCCACTTGTATTTTTATTTGTTGCAGAATGTCCATGATTTAAAAGCTAGTGATCAATTTAGTTGACCTACATGTAGAGCCAAATTGAAAACTGTATCATCTGAGCTTGTGCAATATTGCAAAACTACTGGTTGTGTGCACTGATGTCTTTTTGTGTTGATGGTTCATTGGAAAAGCATCTTGAGTACTTATTTCTCCACATATTCTCACCCTGCTTTAGCTGCTGTTAGTCAAGAGGTCTTGCACTACACTTTTCCTGTCTTTCTAACTTGCAAGCTGTAAAGGGCCTTGTTCACCGGAGTTTGAAACTCTGGCAAACGCTTTGCTGCAGATCTATTAAGGATGCTACAGCATTCCCAAGTGTGGTTGAAGCTGTTTGAAACTGCTGAGCTGGCATTTCACTTCAGGCTGTGTTCACAATAAGGGCATACACACAAATCCTCCCCCACTGGTCCAACCCCAAAGCTCACAATTAAATGGCCTTTGAAAATGGCAAAGAGGCTTATGAAGAATAGCCTCAATGGAATCTAACCTTTCCTGGAGCTGCCTGTTGTGCAGAATCGTTGATAATTTTCCGACCTGAAAATGTGCAGTTGAGAGGCAAACGCCTTTCAGCTGGAGAGAAATAGCTGCAGCCTTCTTCTGTTCTGCATGTAAAGTACCAGCAAAATCTGCCCTGGCTCTGGGCGCTCAACCTCTTCAGAAATAACAGCGACCAAGGCTCAGTTCCCTTGAAAACCCTTGTCTTCCTTTGCAGGAGTGCAGAGGTATACTGAGGCTCACCAGTCCATCAATGAGTCTGCTGTAGGGTCCGAGGTTGAGTGATCTCTGCTGAGTTGCTGAGGGTGGCCAGACCAGCCAGATGCAGGTCACTCAGCCCCACAGGTAGTTATGGCTGGGAAGGTGGCAAGGGCAAGACTCGGGTTCTCTACGGACTTGACTTTTGTAGCCTAAAGAAAGGGTTATTTCCTCTAAGTTGCAACTAAGTTTATAAATAAAGCAAAAGAGGGAATAGAGGGGAAAGGTACGTGCCATGCAAGTTCAGTCTTTGTCACTTGCAGCAAATAAAATAATTCCTTACAAAATGTGCATCTCCATGATAATTAATTTTATACCATGGAAGAAAAGCACTCCATGTAGTGGTTTGGGGTTACTAGTATTAAAAATATCTGAGAACAGTTGGAGTCCAGTGTTTCTTTGGCAATGGAAATGTTATTTACAAGATCTTAGGAAAAGCATTTATGTATTTTCAGGAGGATTAGTAAGTGCCATAAGCTTAAACCATGCACACTAAATCCATGGATATATGACTAGGCCTTACCATAAAAAGTGAAAATAAAAAAATCAGTAAATTTTGTGTAATATTGTAAATTCCGTGTAACATTGATTAGTGACTAGCCATAATAATTTCCTCCTTTAAGATGATCCTTTTGTTCTTCTATCCAACACAGCATGGGATTTCATAATCCTATATAGATAGACCTTTACCAGGTATCTTAGGGCTTTTAAATATTGCACCTTTGAAGGCTACCATGTTAACAGCTATGGAGTCTGAAGTGCTCTGGTTCACCAAAGAACAATCTGGGGCTGCCAAACTGATCTCATAGGGAAATTTTCAGAGGTTCAGGGGTGCATACAAACCATGGTACAGTTGCTATTCACATATCCCCCACTTCTGGGGCTACCTGCCCATGGGGAAGGAGGCCGGGGCAGGCAGGCTCATGCCTGGGGAACTACTGATCTGGGGCTGACATTGGAAGCGAACAAACTGCGGTCCAGGGTCTGTAGGTTTGAATGTTTGTTTGGGTCTGCAGTCAGTTCACCTGAATCCTGACATCTCTGGCTACAAGGTTCTTCTGTGATGAGTATGCTCCCTTACTCTTTGCCTTTGGGCTGCTGTTGTGTAAGTGGAGGTAGCAGGTAGCCAGGTTTTTTAGGGACTCAATGTGTAAATGATACTCTCTCTCTTTTTCTTCAGAATATGCAAAACCATGGCAAAAGCTGCTGGTGCTGTGTTTTCTCTGCAGAACCTGCCTATACCAAGCAAGATAGGAAATGCGGGAGCTCAGGTGCTCAGAGCCACAGGTTTTCATTTGAAGCTATCCCATTTCTGCATTTAAGAAAACAAGCCAGGCTGAGATTTCTGATTGTGATTAAATCCACCTCCCCTTGCAGGATGCTTTTTTAGTTTTATTTTTTTTACAAGAGCAAAACGCAAGACTACTTTTGCTCTTCTAGTGTCCTCCTCCCTCTTTCATTGCCTTCAGCCACCACAGGAATTAGGAAGGGGAGGGGATGCTGAGGCTGATGAGACGGTGTTTGTTTAAAAGAATATGCTCAAGTAGGGCAGCGCTAAGGCAGCATTTTTTCCTTATGCTTAGTGCTTATGATCCCTTTCATTCTTCTTGCAGTTACAGAGCAAAATCTAGAAACATTATATATAGTAAGCTACTGAACATGCAGAGGTTACTGGGCCAGTAAAGTGTTCACATGGATCAAATAAATAACCTGTCTTTTAAGACCAAAATTAAATCATAGCGAGAAAACATGTCATGATTTTCTTTTTTCCTTGAGTAGGGGTGGTGTTGAAGTGATTCATTGAAATTTTTACCCAGTCTTAGCATGTGAAGAGTAAAGGTGTACTTGTGAACATCGCTGCCACAAAAAGATCTCAAGAGCTGTTTGTTCTCTAAAACAACCTGATGGTATCAGTCTTCCAGCACACAGTTGGGAGTACAGGTGCATTCAACTGCTGGCTAGGTTGTGCTTTAGTCTCTAGGAGCTGGAAGGTGTGTGCTTCAGGAGCTCCACAGTGCTGTGGACCAGGTCCTGCTCTCCTGCATAGTTCTCCCAAATGATGTGTGTTGTTGGAACTAGGATGTCTTATTTTAAGTAAGGAAGCTGTAAATGTGATTGACAGCAACTGTGTGCTACATAAACTTTTGAGATTTATTTTTTTTTTTATGAATACTCACGGTTGTCTTTTAATGTAGCTGAATTCTGTATGAACAGGACTTCACTGGCTACAGGATAGATAAGGAGAGTTTTCTTTCAAGTTTCATATGTTAATGGAAACATGATCATGTTAGCTATGCTGTCATTAAGAAAAAAAAAGCCATAAAATGTGTAACCTTAGGAGACATGAGCTGCTACTACGCCCGTTAACACTTCATTTGTTGGCTTTCTCACACTGCATGTCTTTTGGCAGCATGTTATTGCAAAGCTGAAGACTGCTAGCCTCAATGCAGAGACTGTCCAATTTACATTCTAGTCATAGTGCAGCGTTTCATAACCCCGCTTTAGCTTTTCCCTGGCTTCCCAACAGCTCTTGCCTCCCGACATGGCATGGGGACATCCAGGGAAAGGGCAAGGGCCTGGGAGTCCCGGGGAGCAAGAGGAGCAGCAATAGTCTTTGCTAGAAGAGACCATCAATAAGTGGACTGCAACACATGAGCCTGAAAAGTGGTGAAGTTGGTGGTGGATCAGTGGGCTGTTGTATAGGGATTTTAGTGCAGATCTGTGGACTAAAAGGACCACATGGCAAAGCGTGGAAGGAGCATATAAGCAAAAGCAGGTCAAAAATATCACAGATCTCAGTATCTGGTTAGAATTTCCATAAACACTTCAAGAACTGAACCCTTTTAAATGTCTCATTTAGTTTGGGGGAAACAGAGGATGATCTGTACGAAACAAGAAGTTTTTAAGAATAGTTTGGTGTGCTTACAGATTCCCCAAAACGTTATGGCATATCTGAATACTTGCTGTCTTTTTAATATTAGCAATACTTTTAATTAATTAATGCCTGCCACTGCTAAGACCCCTTGCCAGAGCAGCTCAGGCTGCAGGCAGTGGTCTGACACCATGCTCTGATGTGCATCCTGGATCATTCACTCTGAGATGGAGAGATAAATTTTACTTTACTAACTTTCATGTTTTGTATTGTAGCCATGAGACGCAAACGACCTGCTGGGATCATCCCAAGATGACTGAGCTTTACCAGTCTTTAGGTAAGACACCTCTACCAGGTTGTTGGTTGGTTGGGTTTTTTTCCAGTTGAATGAATTGTTCAGGCAAAAATTTCCAGGAGTAGCATACAAAATTAAGTGAAAGCGAGAGGCATTGCTTTTGTCAAGGTTAACGTTTTCTGCAAGGGAAATACGTAACGCATAATAGCACACTTCAAACATGCAGTGGAAAAAACATTTCGGTTAGGGCAATTGGAATGTGCGCCGAGTTTACAGAGTAATTTGGGTGCATTGTTGCAAACTCTTACTGAAAGACTGGGACAGAAAAGAATAAAAAAAAATCTTGAATCTTTTCACTGCCTAATCTACTTTACAAAAGGCAGATGAAAAAATCAAACCAAGCTGCTGCTAATGTTGACTTTTGGATGGTAGGAAGCCAATTGAAGCAATTTGCCAAACTGCGTTACCACTGCTTTATTTTTAAAGCACTTTCAATACTTGGAAGGCATGGCAGCTGTCATGATGTCATTTTGAATACCCAAATTGCATGCTTATTATGACTTCAGATGTGCCTCTCTGGTGGAGGTTTTTTATTTATTTTTTTAGCAGCTTTGGATTTTACTAACAGAAGCACATCTATAAGATAAAATAGGTTAATCCATGCTCTAGCATAGGCTGCTTGGCAGACCATTTAATAGCTAACTCTTTGCTTTTAATGATTGTGTTAATAAATAATAGAGGGTGTAATAAAAATTAAGCTATTTCTGTGAAAGTGAATATGCTGCATTCATAAAGGGGGTTACATCTATACAGCACATGCTTTAAATGGAGCCAGCTTGAGCAGTAGGGCAGTGAAATCTAGCATTCAGTGCAGGCTTATTTACCATGGTGAAAAATAGCTTAAATTATCTCCTGCTAAACTCCAGTTTAGCTGCTGAAAACAGTCTAATTATGCCAGCATAATCTATTTCGGGCCAACTCAGGTATCTCTACGGTGCTATGCGGTTAAATGCATACCAAAAATATTTTAGAGAAATGATATGACAAAATGGAATGAGACAGTATGAAGATTTTTTCCTTGGAGTATTAGCACTGTGGCAGCAAGTTGTTTAAAAATTAACCAGAATACAGCTCTGTATGTCAGAAAGGGATATAAGATGTGTAAGTTCAGGCTCAGCAAATGCAAAAGCAGACAGGTATTGACTTGCCTTTTAATTATAATGTATTGCCTTGTTTGTGTCCTTTATATTTCTACTCTTAGAAAGAGTGGTTTAAAAGGTTCAGGACAAATAATAATTGCACAACAGGCATCACTTTAATACAGCTTCATCTTCAAACAGTCGCCTGTTAATTGAAGTGCGCTGACTCCGCAGCCTTCTTTGATTCTTAGTTTGCATGATATTTCTGATACTGTTGTTGGTCAGTCCTGTTGCAACGGCTTTTCTTCTGGTATTTCCCTGTTTCAGCTAGAGCACTCTTGAATATCCAGATGTGAAAAGGTAACTATATATAAGGGAGAAAAGTGTCCTGATAGGTTTGGGTCAAGAGTTCAAATGATGTGTGACTACTGAAGTTAGCTGAATTTTATCACTACGAGTATCACCCAAACGTCAAGAGTTCAAGATATTCTTATTTCTTACTGCATAAAGAAGGAACATGTTTAGGCAGGTTTTGTTTCTCTTTCTTTTTTTCTTATAAAACCCTGCTGTTCTCCTTTTCAGAGGCAAGGAATGTCCAAAAGGGCAGTCCTCTTTCTAGGTAGTTTTATTTCTTTTAGGGTTGAGATCAAATGCTCAGTAATGTGTGAGCAAAACTGACTTTAGCAAAGGATGCAAAATGTGTAATTTTATTAATAAACTTAGGCATTCATATACGTTTACAGCACAGATTAGACAAGGTCATTCTTTGTGCACTGCCACATGGGGTGAAGCTTTGATAAAAGTGCTAGGGAATAGCCTACCTATTTATTTTATTTTATATTTGAACTGGGTGTAGTCATCATTGCCTAACTCTCATACAAATTGCATAATACAAGCATAACCCGTTTAGTCTTGAACAGAACCCTTGATGTATTTTCAGTGCTTTGCTTTGCCTCAGGTCAAAACAGTAATAATGGGATGTTCAGACTGTTCAGTAATATTTTATCTGAGAAGATATTAAAGTCGATTTTTGTATCACGTACTCATTAGATCCTATTATTTTACCCTGTATTAGGATCCAAATTTTTTTTCTCATTCATACCAAGAAGCTAGTAAAGAGTTTAATATGTACACATTTAAAAACTGTGGTAGAAAACATGAATTCTGCAATCCAGGTAGATGTGAAAAAGTGAAACCAAGTTCTTCAATGCTGTGAAGAGTTTTCATTTCCATTTTCCAACTCCTACACTTAGCCCATAGGGAATAATTGTGCTGTGTGATGTAGCTCTCTGTGCATGCCAGTATATCATAATTTGCTAGAGGATCCTTGTGTCTAATTTAAATTCTTACAAATTACTGAAAGCTTAATTTTTTAACTGAATAAGGAAAGTGCAACCTGCACACGATCTAACGTTCCTCATCTGCCTTTGAGGCACAAGAGACACTTGTGTGAGAAAAAGGAGTAATATTAGTTTTATTCTTCACACATCCAGTTCACACACCTACAGATTGCTGCATTATGTTTTGCTAAAATCTACGAATTCCAAGTTTCAAAATTATGGGTTCAGATTTCTGTTCTTAGAGGTTTGAGTATGTATAAAAATGAAGGTAAATTACTTGGAAGCATTATTTTGTACTAATAAAAGAAGGTAGGAACATGCTCTTATGTACTTTTGTATCTGGTCAGATTGTCGGTTCAGGAAGTTCTGTATCCTGCCTTCAATAGGGAGTTCATCAGAGAAAGCAGAAAGAACCCATAGGAAGAAATTGTAAAATAACTTGCCTATGTAGGAGGTGTTCTCAAATTCTTTTTGAGCTCATTTGCTGAAACACAGCGGTTTATAAAGATACTTGAAATAACTGTAGAATATTTTATTTGGAATTTAATATGATTATCAAAAAATTGTAATTAGTTGTTCTTTTAACAGAAGCTTTTCCTTTAGAGATATTAAAATGCTTGTTCTTGGCTGATCTTCTTTATTATTTAAACAACATAGCATTTTATCGGTTTTAATGAAGCATCTATTCCTGACTCAAGTTTGGCAATTTACACTCTTCATTTAAGTTTATAGCTACTTAAAGCTACATAATAAGCTGTCAATGTTAAATTACTTAATTGGTGTTTAACAGTCAAGTCAAAGTGGCAATAGTTGCAACAATGGCCTTAACCCTATCATTTAATGTATCTAGTAGATGTTGGAATAGAATACCTAAGAAGAAGTGGTATAAATTAAGACCAAAGAGGAAAATAAATGCTGAAATAGCAAAGGTGGTAAAAATAAGTGGTAAGGAAGTCTCAGTGGTTCAGAGGCTGACAGGCATACCCCGGTTTGCATTGACACCGTTATCAGCCACTCCAATTTTCTTCTAACTTCCTCCTGAAAGGCTTCAAAGTACCAAGAACCGCTCCAGCTGCTTTTCTTTCCAAAAGCAGTTCCCCTGCAGCAGATCTGCTGTTTTACACTGTTCTTTTACAGCTCCCTTACAAATTTTCTCATCCCTCATGATGGCTCCAGGGCATCACTGAAATGAGAACTTGTGTGATTTCATAGTCCTGGAGAGTTCAGGGACCTTTGGGTGAAGGGGAGACTGGAAGAGCAGGAATCAAAGTGTTCTGGGATTGCTTCATTTTTATTTTTTGTTTTTAGATTTTCTTCTGAGAGTGAACTTCCAATAGCAGGCAGCTTAGCTCAGAATGACAGTATTTTGCCTTTAAGCTGAAAATGACTCTAACCTTTGCAGCGATGGCCCAGGAGAACTTGGCCTGTCGTGCCATGCTGTTAGTGTCCCCCCTCCTCTATACTTCCTGTGTAATGTCTGTATGAGTCTTCTCAAGGTGCATTAGCGTCACTGTGAACAGTAACTATAGTTGCAGGGTGCAGTCAGAAATGTTGCTGTGTGCATCTGTTTCTCTCTCCTAACTCACCAAGGCAAGCCAATAGGGTGAAAAACACCCTCACCCTTGCAGGCTGCAGTGCACTGGTGACAGCTTTCCATTTAATTTGGAGGGGGGGGCGAAGGGGCAGTTCTCTGTGGAGTACATGGAAGAAATGTCAGAGTTGCTTAAGACAAGATGGGAGAATGCTGGAAGGTACCTCTGAGCCTCCACCAGGCTTTTGCAGCAGCTGCTGCGTTGATCTGGTGGCTGGCTGCTCTTGTGCATTAAAGTGAGCTTCCAATTCTGAATGACCAAGGTGGATAAACTTTATCCTTTTGGTTTGTGTATTGTGATTTGTCCTTATGAAGTGCTGCCTGAAGAGGCTAAACTGCCTCTCTCTGCTGTAATAGTTTTCATTACAAACTACTAAACCATGTATTTAATATGAGGTTTTATTCATATTCAGCTAATTGTTTTCCATGTTTGTACTTGTTAGACATCTGCCCGTTGCACGAATCAGGCATTTGTGTTCTGAAATCACTGGGACAATACATCCAGTCTTTCTTTGAAGGTTGCTTATTCACTGATGTCCTTTTCAATTTGAATAATAAAACTTCTGATCTCATAAAATAGGATTGGCTCGGTTCTGTCAGCCTTGGATAGTAATAAGACCTAGGATAGGTCATCTTTCCAATAGTATGTGATTGCGTCCTGTGTAGCACACGCATAAGAGACAATAAATGTAACTATGGCAGAGAAGTAGAAGCTAGGTAGTAGAAGTTATCCTTGCATCCCTTGAAAAGGAAACCATAGGTGCATTATCAGTGGAGGAGGGTATTTTAGATAGCAAAGTAATGTCCTGTTATCGAATAGGTGAGCGCTATGGAAACGTTTTGCTCAAGAGTATTGTACTCTTGGCTTGCAAATGGACACCATTTGTATTTTTGAAGTTGTTTATTTGCTATTTATTTTAGGATTTTCCATTATAACTACTTCTCATCTAGTGTACATGAAAGGTTTCTGAC